CAGGAGAAGAGAAGTTGTTGAAGATCCAGCTCAGGAAATACAACAGAAGAAGTAGAGACAAAGAAACAAGAAAACAGGGCTGGAAGTGGCAATGGCATTGTAAGACACTTAAGGGTGTTAGATACAATAAATTAATGGCAGCTACGTTATAATGATTGTACTGGTTAGTTAATGTTAATTGTATAAAACCAAATGTTTTTGTTTTTGTTGTAAAGTGTAAGACGTACACAAAAGTTCTGTCATTTTGGCCTATATAGTTATCACCTTGTCAAGTAGGTGAAGGAATTACTGAATGTGAATCCTATGTAGCCACTGCGGAAGTTCTAAAGGCATCTGGGAGCCAGCATGACTGAATACCTGAGCTATGATCGTGGGAACAGGGGAGCTGCTGAAGCTAGCTGGCAATTAGGATCTGTTTAGCAAGAACGGGCATGCACAGAGAACAAGCGTGCCAATCAAAACAAAACTGGGTGTCCAGGCTATGGGGACGAGCAGAACATCTGACTGCCGATCAAAACCAAATGCTGGTGGTTCAGGATATTCAAAAAATTGAGGAATGAAGGACAGCAAAAGACAGTATCATCATGAAAAGCCACGTACTAAAAACAGTCCATAAAGGAGTGCCAAGCAAACATTTTTTAAACAAGCTTTCTTGTAGAAATCAAATTATATTCCTCCAATTACAAGTTGGCGTGGGAACTTTGCCACCCATAGTGATAATAGGATCATAGTAATAATAGGATAATTGTGTTTGAGAGTCCTAGGAGGCATTTTAGAAATTTGTAGGGAATATTTTTGGTTAATACAGTGTTGGAATGGGGCTATGCTACTGGCCTTTAGTGGCTAAGGATCAGGTATTCAGACACCTTGCAATTTTTTTTTTTTTTTTTACAAGAAATCTCACAAAAAGCTCAGTTGTTTAGGGGAGGGTCATTATGAAGGGGAAGCTAAATTGGCAGAAAGATACTGTCTTGATCTTATAAAATAACATACTCTGCATGATGTCTACTTAATGTAGTACAGCTACTTCAAAAACAATCAAACCAGTTGTAGATATACCAGGGTTTTGGAGATTCCCTTTAACAGAGGTAGAAAGAAACGCAAAACTGACAGGCATATGAAATTGAAAGACCTCACTGGATGTCATTAACAAAGGCTATTTTAAAACTACTTAATACTTCCATCCTAATGAGAAACATTATGAAAATTCATTTGGGGGTTACTGGATTTTCCCACTTTATTTTGATGCTGTCCTGAGAGATGCACCCCATAAATCCCCTGTGGCCTACTGTGCTCCTCCTTTAACAACCTCCCCCCCCCTTTTCCACTGCCTATTACAGGGTAGGGCTTCCAAGGTATGTGAGTAGGTTTTAAGTATTAGAGACTGAATTTATGCATCAGGTGAAATTTCAAGTGAGAAAATGTTTTCTGTAATACTCTGTCATCAGCTATACCCCATCCCACTGCATCACAGGAAAAAAATTGTGAGAATATCAATATGTGATATTCTCATATATGTAAATATCCATATTTTATCTTAAAACCATATAATCTGTCTCTCCAGACTGCCTCCTTCCATTTCCCTCTTTCGCTTATCATAAATAAGTCTAGCCTGTCATTACTTATCTTAATGCCCTTTTTTTAAATGTAGGGTCCACCTGTATCTCTGCTCTTTTGTCTTCCTACACTTTTTGTACTGGACAGCTTTCTTAAACCCAAGCTTATATTCATTACTAGTATCTTATCTGCAAAGAGGGAGAAGGGAAATAATTGAGTTGGGAGCTTCAGAGTAGGGAAGCAGGGGGAATGCAATTGAGTTGACAATGCATAAAGGACAAGCAGTTGAAACTGGATACCATGAATTTGAACTGGAAACCGTCATCCTTGTTTCATGACCTGCCACAATTATGCCCACTTCTCAGAAGCAGAGAAAACGAAAATGAGGGGACTAGGACTGATAACAGGCATGCTAAACTTGGTCATGTCACTTCTCTGCTCACAATCTTTCCAAGGCTTCTCATTCCTTAACATGACCTTCAGGAGCTTCCATCATCTGGCACCACCTATTTCTCTAGCCTCTTCTTTACCATTCTCCCCTTGGCTTTCAAAGTCCCATCCCCCTGGCCAATTTCTTCCATCCTCAAGGCTTCTGCACACACCATTCCTTTCATCTGTCACCTGCGATTCCTCTCACCACCCACCCTTTGCTTCAGCTTAAAATTCATTTCCTCAGAGATGCCTTTCCTGACCCCCAAATCCAATCAGAATACTCTTTCAACGTATGCTTTGTCTTTCATTATGTTTATTTGTATGAATACTCTTTTCAGACATGGAAATAGCTCTGTGGAGGCAGGCACTTGATCTATTTTGTTGACTGCTAAATTCCCAGCACCTAGCCTAGTGCCTATCACCAGCAAGAACAGCAGGAACATTCATTCATTCATTCAATACATATATTGAGTTTATTGAATGAGTGAGTGAATGTTTGGAAGAGTTAGCTATGGGATCTTGGACAAGTTATTTAATTTTTTTAATGCTTATTTATTTTTGAGAGACAGAGAGAAAGACAGAGCCTGAGCGGGAGAGGGCAGAGAGAGACAGAGGGAGACAGAGAATTCGAAGTAGGCTCCAGGCTCTGAGCTGTCAGCACAGAGCCCAATGCGGGGCTTGAACTCAAGGACCATGAGATCACGACCTGAGCTGAAGTCGGACACTTAAGTGACTGAGCCACCTAGGTGCCCCACAAGTTATTGATTTTAACTATGTCTCCATTTTCTCATCTGCTAAATGGGGCAATGATACTAACTTCCAACCTCAGAATGCCATGTGGGTTAAAAGAGATAATGCATGCCTAGCATGGTGCCTGGCATATGGTAGGGGCTAGGAAATGTTAGCTCTTATCATGATTAAAAAGCTCTATGAGCAACCACAACTCTTGTATATCACTGGTAGGAATGCAAAAATTATACAGCTATGTTGGAAACACGGTTTACCAGTTTCTTACAAAGCTTAACACAGACTTTCCATACAACCCGGCAATCCCACTTCTAAGCATTTACCCCAGTAAAATGAAAACTTTTGTTCACACAAAACCTGCACATGACTGTTCACAGCAGCTTTATTCATCATTGCCAACAACTGGAAACAACTCAAATGTCCTTCGACCAAAGAACGGAAAAACAAATTGTGGTATAGCCGCACAGCAGAATAGCACTCAGCAAGGAGAAATGAACTACTGACACATGCAACAACATGGATGAAATGCAACAGCTTCACGCTGGGTGAAAGAAGCCAGACTCCGAAGGTGACATGTGGTATGATTACATTTATATGACATTCTGAAAAGGCCACACCATAGGGACAGAGATCAGGTCAGTGGTTGCCAGGCAATGGGGTGGAGCATGAGGGAATTTGGAGAAATAATAGAACTGTCTTAGGTCTCGATTGGGATGGTAGTTACATGACTATACGCCTTTAACAAAACTCATGGCATTATAAACTGAAAGGTGAATTCTACTGGATGTAAATTATGCCTTAATACGAAAGATGGCAAAAAATTCCAATCAGGTGGATCAAATTTTTCCTTTCAAAAAAAGTATTATAAAAGTACTACAGGCTATTGGTAGACATTCTGGAAAAATATAGAGTGTACTTTCCATCACCTGCAGAACAGTAATATTTCTTTGATGTCATTTTTATATGTGCAAAATACACATACATGGGGGCTATACTGTACATTTTTGCTCTCTCAAACGTACGTTTTACTTCCTGAAACATATTAAGCACGTTTTTCCATGACATTAAGTAACTTTCAAAACCACAGTTTTATGAGTCAGTACTATTCTATCGTATAGCCGATTTATATTTTTAAGCCTTCTCTTATTGTTAGAAATTGCTTTCACGGTTACTACAATTTTGATAAAATTAAAAAAAAAAAAAGTTCAGCGGGCCCAAGGACTCTTCCATTTTGTAAATGCACAATGTTTAACTGGTAAAACAACTCCTCTGGTTGGCTACAATTGTCTCATTGTTTTAAACGTCTGGAGGAAAAGCAGTTCCACAGGAAGATCTGGCCTCTCTTCCCATCGTGGTGCATGAGGACTAGACACCCTAATATTACCTGTATTACTAGCTTAAATTTGCATAGCGCTTTTTATATTTAACGCTCACCACATCCTTGCAGGGGAAGGGGCAGATGCAGTAATTTGCCCAAGAACCCACAGCTTATCAGTCGTGGAATGGGACTTAGACTCCAGATATTCGGAGTCTCGGAAAGTAAACATTTCCCCAGCGGCGGAGCGCTAATTTGGCTCTTCCCCCTTCCTCCACTAGGGAGAGGCTGCAGACACCCCCAGAAAACTCTGCCTAGAGGCTTGGCACACGGGGAACTTAACTCTGTCAAGTGGACGCTGTCCCTCCGACAAATTGTCCTTGGCAACATCGCCACTTACCAGCTGGGGTCATTTCTCCCCCGGTGGCAGGGGAACACCTACTGCCACTGACCAAGGGGGCCCTGGGAGCGGTAGGATCGCCGGCTTCGCGGCCTGCGAGGGTTGCTGTCGGTCGGTCGCGACGCTGTCGGGGCTCACCCTCACTGGGGGTCCTGCCGGGGGGGTGGGGAGGCGACCAGGACCTCCCCAACACCGGGGCCTCCGTCGGGGGGGCGCGCCCTCGGCGAGGTGAAGCGTGCCCCCACACCATCTTAAGGAGAGCTGAGGACAGGCAGGGGTTGCGGGACCACTGGACTGCCCGGGGAGACTCCGGGGACGTGACAGGAATGCCTCCTCCGCGGTCGCAGAGGTCAGTCCTCCACTATCCCAGAGTGCCCCAGATCCCGGAAGTGCCCTGCTTTCCGGAAGTGCCCGGCAGGCTGAAGGAAAGGAGATTTGCCTGAGCGCTGCAAAGAGAGGGCTGTGGTTCTGGTGCGTGGGGGGGGGCGGGGGCGGCTGGAGGTGCTACTCGGGGTTGAGGTGAGCGTCGGGAGGGAGCTGGGCGGAGGGATGATGGAGGAAGAGGAACTGGAGTTCGTGGAGGAGCTGGAAGCCGTGCTGCAGCTCACGCCTGATGTGCAGCTAGCCATCGAGCAGGTGAGCGTTCCGTGCCCTGACGGGGCAGGAGAGCTGAGGGTGGGGAAGTCTGGGGGTGGGACCCGAGGTGGGATGGGGAGGAAGCAGTCTTTGGACGGAGAGGTGGGAGCTAGGCGCCGAAGGGAAAGGACAGGTTTGGGGGGAGGTGGTGATGGGAAGGGGTTGCTGAATCCAGGGGAGGGAGAGGACCCTTTCTAGGCCTTGATTGTCTTTAGAGGATGAGGCGTCCCGGTGAGTTTGGGCAAAGGAACCGCGCCTCCTGAAAGCATGAACCTGGAAGAAGGGAGTTCGTGGATACCAACGTCAGATTTGGGGGATTATTTACCAGGCTGGTGTGCCGCTGCTCCCGCTTCTCAGTCTAACCTTTTGTGAGGGACTAGGAATTGAGAAGGGGAACAACTTTAACACCTGCAGCGGGTCACAGAGCAGAGGGGACAAGGTTGAAAAAGGACCCTTTACCGTACTTAAATGGTTGAGAATTTCTGCTGTTGATTAATTTGGATTAGGTTGAAGAATATTCCCGGGAGGCCTTCCTTCCCTTCCGGAACTCTTTGGTTGACTAAATTCTCTTTTCAAGTTTACTGGGTTTTTAAGAGTAATTGTATTGGAAATAGTGACTTAGACCCTTGTGCAGGATTTTGCTTCTGATAAAGGGAGAGGATCTCCGTTAAAGGAATTGATGTAGGGGATGAGATTTAAGAAAAGGAGGGTTGTGCCATATTTAATGACCACTGGGAAGTTTTTTGAAATAAAGCATTACTACTACCATTGCTAATAGTTAATATTTTTTTGAGCATTAATACTGATTATAGGTCTGCCACTGTACTAACTTATTTGTATTGTCCCATTTATAGATTTTTGGATGTGTGTTTTTCCACCAGGTTGGATTACCCCATACAAAGGACACTTGGCACATCCTAAGGATGCCAGACCACTGGGCAAAGGTTTTGTTGTTCAGGCCCCAGCTCCCCATCCGCCTCCACCTGACAGAAAAAGACATACATTTCATTTTCTCTTTGGACCTAATGGGCCCTAATAGAAGAAACAAACAACGCAGTCAGTTACGGTTTGGCAAGGATTTTAGAAGAGTGTATTTTTGCTGTTTCTTAAGAAGACTGAGTTCTAGCATAGGTTTATCTAATGAGCAGACATCAGAAAAGAATTGGCTTCCCAGAATGACTGTCTTGAGCTGGTGAAATCCAGTACCCAGGGCATCACTCCACTGCTTCCATAATCTACCTTGTTACGTGTTATTCAAGTTGTAGCTTTTGAAGGGAGTTATTTTTCAGAGGCAGTGTTCTTTCTTCTGCTAAAGAGATGGACAGTTCCTGAATGCAAGCTCCATTTCCTGACACTGTCTGAAGCGTAAAAATTGCTTCAGTGCAAAGTGAATTCCAGTACTAAGCCATCACAGACATATGCATAAGTCTTTTATCAAGCCTTCCTTAATACAGTCATGTCATCAGCTGGTTTAATCTGATAGTGGACAAAGCCCATTTATTTTCCCTTGTCTGTGGAATTTTGTTGCTATCTGTGGAACTTGCCACTGTTGCACATTCTGTTAGTTGCACCAAGATGTTAAAATTACAGATGTTAGTGAAAATCAAAGATTCACTTTAACATATATTTTCCCAAGCAGTCGTTGGGTGTTAAGCCTTTAAAATGAAAAAAGGTATGTTTCTTGCTTTCAAAGAATTTACCATCCAGTAGGAAGGAAAGAAAGAATACATTAAACAAGACAGAAAGATGACAGTTATTTTTTAATCCCCTGTCTTTATACAGGTGTTTCCAAGCCAGGATCCTCTAGATCGAGCAGATTTCAATGCCGTGGAGTATATCAATACCCTGTTCCCAACAGAGCAAGTGAGTATAGGGTTTTCTTCATTTCAGTGGCCTCTGGCTCATCCCACGTGTTGTGATTGCTATGTTATACTGCATGATCTAAGGAGACTTGATAAACAAATGAGAGTTAAATTCAAATCATTGTAACCGATTGGGGTTTGGTGGGGGGTAAGCTTATACCAAATACTGTTGTGTGAGAGTGGAATTCTTCGTATTGTGAGCATATTATTAGAAATTGTAATGGGGCGCCTGGGTGGCTCAGTCACTTAAGTGTCTGACTCTTGATCTCAACTCAGGTCTTGATCTCAGGGTCATGAGTTCAAGCCCTGTATTGGGCTCTGTGCTGGGCATGAAGCCCACTTAAAAGCAAAAAAAAAAAAAAAAAAAGAAGAAGAAGAAAGAAATGCTATCTTTAGTCTGTAAGAGTCCCCTACATTTTCTGTGGTAAATTGGGAGGTAGAAAGGATTTTTAAAACTAATCGGGAAGAGTAGGAGTGAGATGGGGAGGATAACCCTGGGGTCATAAAGCTACTCTCACTCCTATTTTGAGATGCGAATTTTCAGACTTTGTTTTTTATTTTGTTGTGTTGGTTGGCTTGCCTATACAGATGGGTTTTTCTTACACAGTTGTTTTTTGGGTGTTTAGGTGAGAAGTAGAGAATTAGAAGCATCAGAGTCGGGAGAAGGTCAGCTAGAGTTCTTTTTGGTAATTCATTTATGAATTCAGCAAATGTTCAGTGGGCACCTGACAGGTACCGGTCACCAAGCTAGGCGCTGGGGGCACAAAGAAGAATAACACCCGGTCCATGCCCTTGAAGTGTACATGATCAAGGGCAGGGGGCTGGGAGAGAGACACTGATGAATGCTGTGGGGGAGGTATTGAATGGTTTAGTGAGGAACAAAGGAACGTTCTTCCTAAGAAAATCAAAACTTCAGAGAGGAGGCAGGCCTTCTGCCAAATCTTAAAGGAGTCGTTCCTTCATTTAGTCACACACATTTATGAAGTGTCTACTAAATGCCAGGCACTGTTTAGAAACTGGAGGGAAATGGTGTGGCAGGCAAGTTCCTAGTCTTGTGGAGTCTAGCGTGAGGAAGAAGACAATAAACAAACCAACAAATAAATATACAAGAAATTATCAAGTGTCGTGGATACTATGGTAAACAGCAGGTGCAGCGGGGGTGGGGGGCTCCTTTAGATAAGTGGCCGGGGACGGTCTGTGTGAGGTACTTCCCTTTAAACGAAGATTTGATACCTATGAAGGAGCCAGGCCTGTGGCCGTCTGGCGGAACTCTACCCTAGGCAGAGTCAACTGATGGGCAAATCTAGGATGACAGGGAGAGAAGTTCATTCTAAGCACAGGACAAAGGCTCAGAGATGAGAAACACAGAGTGTGCACAGGGAACAGAGCCTCCTAGGAGATAAGGCTGATGGGGTTGGCAGAGCAAGGGTCCTGAAGGGACCATGTTCTCTAGGCTTGCAGGCCCCGCATGCCTCTCAGGGAAATATTTTCTACACAGCTCATTGTCACCGGGCCCAGTTTTAGGTTTGTACACACCCTCAAAGTATTAGGTACATACTCTAGTAGCCGTCTTAAATAAATTAGGTTTTAGTAGTGTTTGTTACATAAATAATAAAAACAGAGGTTTTTGTCATGTACTGTCAATAAAGTATACTATATCCAGCCCCCCCAAAATAGAGATTTTAATGTTTTCTTTTCACACTCTAATGGGCATTATTGCAAACCCCTTTGGGATGTCCACGCCCTGCGCTGGAGACAGTGACTCTAGGCAGTGGCTGTTCACTTACGGACTTTAGATAGCCTGGGGGGCTCGGTCATTTAAGCATCGACTCTTGATTTCAGCTCAGGTCATGGTCTCATGGTTTGTGAGATTGAGCCCCGTGTCAGGCTCTGTGCTGACAGTGTGGAGCCTGCTTGGGATTCTCATTCTCTCTCTCTCTCTCTTTCTCTCTCTCTCTCTCTCTTTCTTTCTGTCTCTCTCTCTCTGCCCCTCCCCTGCACATACCTTCTCTTTCTCAAAAAAAAAAGGACTCTTGACAGGGTAATGACTGGATCAGATTCACATTTAAAATATTCCATCTGGCAGCAGAGCAGAGGGTGAGCCAGGGGAGGCAGAACTGGAGGCAGGAAGACCAGTTGGCAGATCACCTACAGGGGACGATAAGAGCCCGAGTGAAGACTGGGATTCAGAGAGCAAGTCCACAGAGCCATTTAGGAGTCCAAAGTCACAGACTGGTTGAAAGGATGTGGAATCTAAAATTCCTTCCTTTACCCACCAAAACACACTTCCTCTGCCCAGTTTTCTAAGAAATCTGGGCCTAGCTGGTGAACAAGACAGATGGGGTCCTTACCAACCCAGAGCTTCTGGTCTACCTTAACAGGTAATAAATACACCATTAACAGATTATAAGCAAATTATTATGGCTCTACAAAGCCTGTTTGTATAATTATGATTTGCTGCTTGCTCTCTAAAGACCCCTAAGTTCTGCTACAACTGTGATAATAGTTAACATTTATTGAACACACAGATACCATTCTAAACATTTAATAGTGGTGTTATGGGAATAAGGAGGCACAGAGGGAGAAAGAGTGCTCAGCCTTGCCATGAAGGAAGCGCACCAAGTACTGTGGGAGCAGAGCACATGCCGCCTCACTTAGTCTCAGGGACCCAAAAAGACTTCCCTGAAGAAATGGCATTTCAGCGGCACGTTATACGCCAAATGAAGGATTTTTTTTTTTAATTAAAAAATTTTTTTTCATGTTTTATTTATTTCTGAAAGGGAGAGACAGCAGGAGCGGGAGCCTGAGACAGGCTGTCAGCCCAGAGCCCAACATGGGGCTTGAATCCATGAACCACGAGACCATGACCTGAGCCAAATTTGGACGCTTAACTGCCTGAGCCACCCAGGCGCACCCAAATGAAGGATTTTGAACTTTGCTCTCTAGCCTGGCAGAAGGAGTGGGTCAACACCAGATACCTTTAAGCTAATTTGGGGATAAGGAGGAAGAGCAGGCTTTAGTGGTAAATAGAGTAGGAGTGGGGTGTAAGGGCAAGCTAAGTTTTGAACATTTGGGGGCCATTCCGGTGGAAGTGTGGATTTGGATATTTGAGTCTGGAGCTCATAATTCTCATAATTATTAATATTTTTGGCATATATCCTTCAAACTTTTTCTTTTATTTTTTTAATTAAAAAATTTTTTTTAATTTTTATTTTTTGAGAGACAGAACATGGGCACAAGTGGGGGAGGGGGCAGAGGGAGAGAGGGAGGGGGGAAGAGAGAGGGAGGAAGGGAGAGAGAGAGAGAGAGAGAGAGAGAGAGAATGAATCTTAACCAGGCTCCACACTCCGTGCAGAGTCCAACGGGGTGCTCAATCCTGTGACCCTGGGATCATGACCTGATCTGAAATCAAGAGTCGGATGCTCAGCTGACTGAGCCATCCAGACTCCCCCTTCTAAGCTTTTTCTAATGAACATATTTGGGGCGCCTGGGTGGCTCAGTCAGTCAAGCATCTGACTTTGGCTCAGGTCATGATCTCATGGTCCGTGAGTTCGAGTCCCGTGTCGGGCTCTGTGCTGACACCTGGGAGCCTGGAGCCTGCTTCAGATTCTGTCTCCCTCTCTCTCCTCCCCCACTTGCCTTCTGTCTCTCTAAAAATAAATAAACATTAAAAAAAATTTCTAATGGACATACTCATTTTTTTAAATAAAGTTGGAGAAAATGGTATGATTCTGTGTGATTGTCTTTTTTGAGATTTCACAGATAGCCTTTAGAGCTCATTGTTTAGTGTGAAAGAGGAATTCTAGGAATTAGCTGGAGGTAGAAATTTGGGAACAACTTGTATAAAGACAGCAGTTTTAGCTGTGAAAATACCATTTGCCCCACTGTATCAAGAATACTGACTCATCAAAGCAAAAATAACTGTTAGATTTGGAAATTACATAGGAAACCACCAGGTTCTCACTTCTTCCTGACATGTTTTTATATGTATTTGATTTTAAACTACTGAAGGTAGCAACTAGACATTTGTCATTCCACAGATGTAGTTATATGTCTTGTCTAATCGTACCTCCATGTACACGATAACGCGTAGTGAAGTTTCTTAGCAAAGTAAGAAAATTTGTGACACAAGGTTGCTTTTATTTCCCCGACCCCAGATTTACACTTAGCAGTTCATTTTCCAGCCCAGATTCCCATGGTCTGTAATGACAACGTAATAGAAAATAGTGGCATGAATCATAATGTCTTTCACCTGTTGCTAAATCTTGGGCAAAACCCGTCTCTACACCTCATGGACCTGCAGCAAATACTTCTGAGTTGAGTTTAGAATATTTAGGGGCGCCTGGGTGGCTCAGTCAGTTAAGTGTCCATTTTCAGCTCAGGTCCTGATCTCACGGTTGGTGAGTTCAAGCCCCATGTCAGGCTCTGTGCTGACCTCTTGGAGCCTGGAGCCTGCTTTGAATTCTGTGTCTCCCTCTCTCTCTGTCCCTCCCCCATTCGTGCTCTGTCTCTCTGTCTCTGTCTCTGTCTCTCTCTCTCTTTAAAATAAACATGAAAAAAACCTTTAAAAAATTTAAAGTAGATGTCAGTGTATCAAGAATGAGTTTAGGGTCACTCTAAGGAGGAGGATGTGTATGCGGTGTCTGTTGAGTAGGAGCGGCTTGCGTGTCAGTGGTTGCCTGGAGATATGTGCCTGGAGGTAGGACATCCCCAGGTAGTTCTAACTCACTAGGTCCATGTGGCAGGAGCTCAGCTTGCTGTATTTATAGGGCTCTTAGGGGTAGTTCTGAAGAGTAGCCAGGTTTGGTAACAAAGATCTGGAAAATTTTTCTAGTCTCCTAGTAGAAAACTGAAGGTAATCATTTGCCATGTTTTCATTAAAGGTTTGATTAGGGGAATCTAGGTAAAATCTATAAAAATAAATATAAAACTGATACAATTAATAACTTTGACAGAAGAGTCACGTGGAGCTGTTTCTAAAGATTTTTTTCTAAAGAATTT